AACCATAAACTACACAGAAAATGAAGAACAAACGATATTCAGAGATGATGGCATACAAAAAAAAGAAATAAAAACATGTAAAAGATGCAAAATTCTAAACGTACATGTAACCGAAACCCCAATAAATCAGGATCGACGAATAACACATGAACCAGATCAACCTATAACTGAACCGTTTGACTGTGTAGAACAAAGAAAAATTCATTAAAGACGATGCACGTAAGGAACAAGTAAATAAGAGATAGAAAGCAAAACAAACCTAAAAAATCAAAGAGAACACATGAAAGAGACATAATGATAACGAAACAAAAACAAAATTAGTAGACCACTAATCTATCACACAAGAAACAGGGACAACGCATACACCACACACAAAAAAATCTCAAATTAAAGTTAGATTAAGCATAAAAAAACAACACTCGAAACCAATGTGTAACGCTACAAACAAAAACAATAAAAAAGACACAGACAATGAACATCATCAACAAAACTCTAAAATTTCAGAATTAAGCTAATTTTGAATTTATTAATATGCGATGCTAAGATGATCTTACAAACTATTTGAAATCACAACACTACAATCGTAAAAGTCAAGAAAACACAAAAGATATACAGTAAAACCTCTATAAATTAATACTCGATAAATTAATAATTACTATAAATTAATAAATTTTGCTGGTCCCAAGTCGGACCAATGTAAAAATTCATCAAATTCGATAAGATAATAAGATAATAATTTTTTTTGAAACCCTTATGTAAATATATGGTCCCAACAAAACCATAAATTAATAATTTTATAAATATATGCAAATATATGTAAATAGAATATTCTAAAATTTGACCAATGTGTTTATTTTTATTTAAAGTTGAAATCTCATTGGTTCTCATCTCTCTAATTATTATATCAGTAGTTCTTATTGCTGTTTTACTATATACATTCAAAATTTATGATTATTTTTTTATGTGATATTTGATTTTCTTACCTGTAAATGTTTTTAAATGTATTATATTGTTATCTTCAATTTTATCATCAATAATACTGATAGTAGCCATGATTTTTTATAAATTTTAAACTTATGAACATGTATATTTTTATACGGACAATTCAATATGGTATTAAAAACTATTTTAATTGAGATAGTTATGATTGTTGATCATATAGTTATGATTGTTGATCATAATTTATATTATTAAATTTGTTAAAATTTAAAATATAAGATTATTTCAAAGCAATTTTTAGAAAATTATATGAGGAAAGCAAATTTTTTCTATAAATTAATAATTAATAATTTATAGATAAATTAATATCACGATAAATTAATAAAATATCATGGTTCCAACATTATTAATTTATAGAGGTTTTATTGTATATTAAAAAAATGACGAGAGAAAGCGTCAAAGTGAAGAGAAAGATGGGAGATAGATGCCTCACGAACAAAAAAAAAAAAAAAAATTGGGAGGTGATAAAAACAGAACGAAGCAAACGCAAAGATAAAATTAACAAACATGAGAACTATAAAACTGGTATATAGCTTGCCGATCATAGAATGATATTCGATCTAAAAGATGTAAACAACAAAAAAGAGAACAAACCTAAAAAAAAACTCGAATGCCCTAAATTTCCCTAAATTCGATACTTAAAGTTGAATTTATAGAGTTATGCGATGCTAGGGTTTCAAATAGGTCGAAAACAAATTAAATGCATGGGCCGAAATTAAGATGGTCCAGGAGAGATTATTGTATTTTTGATAAATATTTTTGAAATTAATTAATTAAGAATATTAAAAAATTTTATTAAAGGGTAAGAGGTAATTAACCACCCCAGACTTAATGAGAGGCTTCCATTGCTTATTTTGAACTCGCTTTTAATATATATGATGATATACATAATGTTTAGATCTAGGAAAAAAATGATTCCGTAATCGGTGTGAAAAATCTTAAACATTATTTACAGTAAATGTTTTATGAATTAATAATATTGAGACTTTCAAATTTTATTAATTTAGAAAATATTAATTTATAAAAATATATTAACTGGGTCAAAAATTTAATTTAAATAAAATAATTATTAATTAATTAAATTTATTAGTTTATTGAATATTAATTTATAGAGTTTCTTCTGTATTTTAAAACAAACTAATATTTCTAAAAACTCAGTAAATGACTCGAAAGGAAAATAAAAGACTTGCTCATCTTGATGACTCTTACTACAATCCAATTTCAGGTGTGACTTATTTCTTATTTGACCTATGACATGCTTTCAGATCCTTATAAAATTATATTTTATCAATTACTAAATATCCTGGACCAACCTCATAAACTGATGCTAAAAAAGTCACCAGTATGGGTTCGGGCTATGCATAAGGAATTGCAAGCATTGGAGAGTAGTGATACTTTGTAAATTTGTTATTTGCCTCCTAACAAGCAGCCTATTCGATACAAATATGTTTATAAACTGATATTGGGTTCTGATGCCACTTAGAGAGATTATGCAACAAGGAGTGAATTATGTGGACACATACATATTCACCTGTTGCAAAGCTCATCACATCAATGTCCACATTTGGACATGATGGTACGGATTTGATGGCAGGGGGGTTTTAACAACTTCAAGTTGTATGGCTAAAATTTTTCATCAATCCCGGTCATGGTTCAAAATCTTGTTGCTACTGCTTCCCCTGTTTCTATATTATATGGGAAAAGGAATCAACCTATCTAGTGTTCTTTTTTGAGATGGAAATCACAAGCCTTTGTTTTCTTGCTTCTGTAAAGCGAACCCCATATGGCCATATAGTATCTTCTCTCCATAGAGACATTTTTAGGTTTATTTACCACAATGGTTGAACCTTTAAGCTTTTAAATCTGAATTATGTGTTCTTTTTCAATACGGAAAAACCTTCTTAACCTCATTTGTGGAATAATTTCTTTAAACTATTTGCCCACTGATGTAGGTTTAGTGAATCCATTTCCGATCTACTTATTTTGTTTTTGTATTGCTATTTTCATATTAAAAAACTATTGCTTTGTGAGACCTTTAATGATTTTCCAGTCCTTGTAGATTTGTATGCCTCTGAATTCTACCTATAATTCAAAGTATGGTTATGATTCTCTGATTATAAAGGTCTCTACGCACAACATTTTCTTCATACGCAGTCTAGGCATTATATGGCTCATCTTGGAGTTACCCATCTTATACTAATGTAATTAAGTATCGATCTGGTAGTATGCGAAAGCTCTTAGTCAATACGAGTTAGATCTGTTAGCATCATCTGCTGTTTTGTGGAAGAACCATCCCAATTAAAAAGCCAATGTACAATATAGACAGAGTAATAGGAAGATAAAAAAAAATTGAAGGAGAAAAAAGTATATAAATTGCGAATTATATCATTGAAAAAAAACCATAAAATTCAACTCTAAGAGAATGACTACAAGACTCTCTGATAAACCAAGTATAAAAGGCCTGACTGATGATATATCATGGTTTTTATGGTTTTTGACCATGGTATAAGTCTTATTTATAGAGTCTTTTTAGTGTTTTTCGAGTCTTTTAGAGTCTTTACAGGTCATAGGCATGTTTGGAGCTTAACTGGAGATTTTGGAGCATTTTGGAGCTAAACAAGGATCAAATTCGCGAAGGACAAATTATGTGCTTTAGTGTCGCTCGATACCATGGAGAGTGACGCTCGACACCGATCGAAGAAATAAGGAAAAAGCGATTTTGTTTCCTGTTTGAAGAAGGAGTTGGGCCCAGAAGTTCTCAAATAATTCCAAGAATGCCCAGAACGTGTTTTAGAGATATATATATAGGATTTTTATTCCCTTTTTACCGATACTTTAGATTTTTGGAGAGAGAGATACTCTGAGTTTTTACTTTGGGCGATTTGAGAGCTAGGGAAGACAAGTCTGAACCCTGTTCGTTTAAAGAGAAAATTTCGAACCCCTTTATCTATTTCGACTTAATCTATTGCTTTCTATTCATCTTGTTTGTTGTTCCAATAATCATGTCTGAGTAGATCATCTGTTAGGTTTAGGGTTTAATTAGGGTTTTCTTTAAATGTTTGATTAACTTGCTAGCTAGGGTTCATATCTGTTAGTTCTTCATCTTAGGTTGTTCTTAATGCTAATTCTGGACTGATCACCTAGAACTTAGATCGTAGGTTGCTTAATTGATACGAAAGTGTAATTGAATAACTGGAAAGAACCTAGGGTGAGCAAAGCAGCTATTCGCAAAGGAATTTGGTTTAGATGCTTTGTGAACATATCGAACTTGTGCATTAAAGCAGGTTTAAATCTGTAGGATTTGCAAAGGAATTTGGAATTCTAGGATTTTAACTTAGATAATTCTCACAACGGAAGTTGGTTAATTATAATTCTGTGTTTCGAGTTCAAGAACCGTGCTTAAACCTGAACTCTGATTAGTCAAGTTGATCTGCATTCATTGATCTCCTGAAAAACGCCCTAGACCTAATCTCCATCCATCTGAATCTTACAAACCGTTTTTACTGCTACTTAGTTTATTTCTGTTGCATTGCTATTTATTTCCAATATTTCTGCTTAGCGTAATTTGATCTCTATAAGGTTTATTGAGTGACTTCTTGTCTCTGTGGTTCGACCCCTACATACTACAACTGCACATCTGTGCTCTTGCAGAGTAGCTTAGGGATTAAACTTTGAGCAGATCAAGTTTTGGCGCCGTTGCCGGGGACTTGATTTCGACATTAAACCTAGTTTTTGAGTTTCGACTAAGTTTTTATTTTTCGTGTCGAGCGACACCACAAGTGGTGTCACGCGACACCTTTTGTTTTTATAACCTAATTTACTTATTTCGCTTTCTCTCTTTGTTTTTGGTGCTTCAGGTTTATACATACTCGTGGGACCAAAAAGCAACAAGGACATCCCGCTAGTGAATTTGAGCAACGAGGAGCTAGCTGAGTTAGAGCGAACGAACAGAAAGGCAAGAGATCCGGCTATGATGGAGAACGCCAACGGACTTGTTCGTGATGATGCTGGAGTCTGAAGAGACCAAGAGGGTCATGTGTGCAATGCAAGAGGCCAAAGGCTTGATGGAGATGGTAACATCATTCCACCAGCGCCTTTACCAGTGGATGTTGTTGACCAGAACCCACCACCTGCACCGTGTGGTAATGTTGTGATCGTTCCAAATCAGAGGAACGTTCCAGAAGATCGGAATGTGAGGGAACCTGCACATGCAGTTGGCCGTGGACGAACACTTGGAGATTACAACAGGCCTGAGCAGTTCTATGCAAATCGGTCTGCGATCCGCACCCATGCGTTTGAGGACTTGGTCACCAGCATCAAACACAATGGAGTGTCCAATGATTTCCTCCTCTGCAAGCTGTTTCCTTATTCTCTTGCTGGAGAAGCAGCTAACTGGTTGAAGCAGTTGGAGCCAGGATCACTCACTACTTGGGAGGAGACCAGGAATGCCTTCCTGCACAACTTCTTTGATGATGCTAGGTCTGAGGAATTGAGAACAAAAATCTCTACATTCTCTCAAGAACCAACTGAGGCGTTCAAGGCTTCTTGGGTGCGATTCAAATCGTACCAGCGAGACTGCCCCCATCATGGCTTCAGCGATGTGCAGCTGTTAGGTATCTTCTTCAGAGGTATTGATTGGAAGTATCAGATGGCTCTTGATGCAGCGAGCAATGGAAATTTCAACACCAGATACCCAGACGAAGCTGTTGAGCTCATCGAAAACTTGGCGTCCAGCAATAGCACCAAGAATGCTGATCTTGAGCGGAAGAAGCAAGCTGGGAACATGGATAGATCGCAGATTGCTGAGGTGAAAGCTAAGCTTGACTCTTTGCATAGCCTTCTAGTGGGTAAGAAGTCTGTCAGATTCGCACAGGAAGTGGAGAGTTTCGAACCTGAGGATGAAGCTGAGGAGGAAGATGTCAACTTTGTCAATGGATCAGGGTTTCAGGAGCAGAGGTTTGGTAATCAGCAAGGTAACAGAAGCTTCAGTGGAAACAATCAGAGGAGCACCTTCAACAGTAATCAGAACTTCTCTGGTTACACGCCTAAGCCTCAATACCAGAAGCCTTATTCCACCAACAGTTTTTCCAAAAACTACAGTACTCCTTCAGCTCAACCTCAAACTCCTGACAATGAGATGAAGTCTATGCTAGAACAAATTTTGGAAGGACAGCAGAAGCTCACTGTGGACTTCAATGGAAAGATGGATGCTTTCTACCTTGATCTGAATGGGAAAATCGAAGCTTTGAACACCCATGTCAAGCAGCTCGATATGCAGGTTGCTCAGACTGCAGGGTCTGTGAAACAACAAGAAGGTTTTCTTCTTGGGAAGACTGACACCAATCTGAGACATCACTGTAGTGCTATCACGTTGAGGAGTGGTAAAAATCTGAGTTTTGATCCTAAGAAGACGCCTCCTGCAGCTGAAGTCGTGGATTTGGAAGATCCTGAAGAAGTTCCTGAAATTGCAGAGCCGGATTCGAGCGACACCACAACCAGTGTCGCGCGTCACCAATCGTAGAGCGAAGCTGTTATTGCTCCAAGTCCGAAATCTGCTGAGGAGAAGGTCTACAAACCTAAAGTTCCTTACCCAAGGAGCCCTAGGAAGTCCAAGCAAGAGCTCGATGATGCACAATGCAAAGCTTTGATGGAAAAGCTTGTGATTGAGATATGTTTGGTTGATGCTGTGAAAATCACTCCTGTTATCAGGCGTTATGTGAAGCGAATGGTGACCAACAATCTCAGCCATGAACAAGGAGTGATGATGATTTCTGAGCAAGTCAGTGCTGTGATTCAGAACTGAATCCCAGAGAAGCTGTCTGATCCAGGAAGCTTTGTCTTGGACTGTTCCATCTTCACGGAGAGATTCAAGAGATCGCTGTGTGATCTGGGTTCAAGTGTCAACCTCATGTCATATTCAGTCGCTGTCAACCTTGACATGACTGACTTCAAGCCAACAAGGATATCTCTTATCCTAACTGATCGATCAACAAGGATACCTGAAGGAGTGTTGGAAGATGTTCCAATCAAGATTGGAGACTGCATGATACCGACTGACTTTGTGGTTCTGGAGTATGGAGAGGAGCCTAAGGATCCTCTTATCCTTGGGAGACCTTTTCTAGCTACAGCAGGTTCTATCATCGATGTCAGGAAAGGCAGGATCGCTCTGAATGTTAGAGATCTGGTGATGAACTTTGACATGGACTAGCTGATGAAGAAACCCACCATCGATGGTCAGACTTTCTACGTCGACACACTCACAAAATTTGCAGAGGAGATCTTCCATGAGATGCTACCCACAGACCCACTGGAGAGAGCTTTGACCACATCTGCAACCGAAGCTGAGCACTTGGACGAAATTTCAGCATCTTACTTGAAGATGTTGGATTTCAGCGAGCATGTAATGCAGCTGGCAGCACAGATAGAACACTTGAGCCTCCTGCAAAGGCCAAGCAGTTCTCCGACTGGAGTGAAGAGAAAGTGCCCAAGATCGAGTTGAAACAGCTCCTTGCAGGACTGAGGTATGCATTTTTAGGATCCAATTCCACTTATCCAGTCATTATCAATTCTTCTTTGAACAATGCAGAGGTTACCTTACTACTGAGCAAACTGCGCAAGCATCGCAAAGCTTTTGGTTATTCTCTTGATGATATTTCAGGTATCTCACCAGATCTGTGCATGCATCGAATTCACCTGGAGGATGAGTCAAAGTCATCAATCGAACACCAGCGCAGGTTAAACCCTAATTTGAAAGACGTGGTCAAGAAGGAGATCATGAAGCTGTTGGAAGCTGGGATCATCTATCCAAATTCAGATAGTGATTGGGTCAGTCCTGTGCACGTGGTTCCTAAGAAAGGAGGAGTTACAGTTGTGAAGAATGACAAAGATGAGCTGATTCCAACGCGCACAGTGACTGGACACATGATGTGTATCGATTACAGGAAGCTGAATGCAGCAACCAGGAAATATCACTTTCCATTGCCCTTCATTGATCAGATGCTGGAGAGACTTGCAAACCATCCTTATTACTGCTTCCTCGATGGGTACTCAGGATTTTTCCAGATCCCGATTCACCCAGATGATCAGGAGATAACCACCTTTACATGTCCATACGGCACTTTCGCATATCGCGGAATGCCCTTTGGACTTTGTAATGCTCCTGCGACTTTTCAGCGATGTATGATGTCCATCTTCACTGACATGATTGAAGATTTCATGGAGGTCTTTATGGATGATTTTTCAGTTTACGAATCATCTTTGAAAGACTGTCTGGACAATCTCTGCAAGGTTCTGGCTCGCTGTGAAGAGAAACACTTGGTCCTTAACTGGGAAAAGTGTCATTTTATGGTCAGAGATGGGATTGTGCTTGGACACAAAGTTTCTGAAGCTGGTATCAAAGTGGATCGTGCGAAGATTGACGTCATGATGAGTTTGCAACCACCTGATTCTGCAAAATCAGTTAGAAGCTTTCTGGACCATGCAGGGTTTTATCGTCGCTTTATCAAGGAATTCAGCAAGATTCCACGTCCTCTTACTGCTCTGCTATGCAAGGATGTCAAGTTTTGAGTTTACAGACGAATGCCTTGCCGCGTTTGAACAGATCAAATAAGCTTTGATAAGCGCCCCTATTGTGCAGCCTTCTGACTGGAATTTGCCTTTTGAGGTGATGTGTAATGCCAGTGATTTTGCTGTTGGTGCTGTTCTTTGACAGAAGAAGGACAAGAAGCTTCATGCAGTCTACTATGCCAGTCGAACTTGGGATGATGCTCAAAGAAACTATGCTACTACTGAGAAGGAGTTGTTGGTTGTGGTCTTTGCTTTTGAGAAACTTCGACCCTACCTTGTGGGATCGAAAGTTATTGTGCACACAGATCATTCTGCACTCAAATACTTGATGCAGAAGAATGATGCAAAGCCAAGGTTACTGCGATGGGTTTTACTTCTACAGGAGTTCGATATTGAGGTTAGACGAGTGGACAGGTCAAAGTCTCGAGTTGAAACATGGTGTTCATCATCGAGTTGCAACTCCTTATCACCCTCAGACGAGTGGACAGGTTGAAGTCTCGAATCGACAAATCAAGGAGATCTTGGAGAAGACAGTGGGTAAAACTCGGAAGGACTGGGCTGCGAAGTTGGACGATGCACTCTGGGCGTACAGGAAAGCGTTCAAAACACCTCTAGGCACCACGCCTTTCCACCTGCTCTATGGAAAACCCTGTCACCTTCCAGTGGAGATCGAACACAAGGCAGCCTGGGCGATTAAGATGATGAACTTCGACATCAAGTCTGCTGCAGAGAGGAGACTGATACAGCTAAATGAGTTGGACGAAATCAGGCACCATGCCTATGAGAATTCGAAGCTGTACAAGGAGAGGACCAAAGCGTATCACGACTCGAAAATCCTCTCCAGGCAATTCGAACCGAATGACAAGGTACTTCTGTATAACTCTCGTTTGCAATTGTTTCCTGGTAAACTGCGTTCTCGTTGGTCAGGTCCTTTCATAATCAAAGAGGTTCGCCCCTATGGTGCCATCGTCCTCCTCACACCAGATGGCAGCAGGGAGTTTACAGTGAATGGAGAAAGGGTGAAACACTACTGGGCCAAAGCTGAGATTCCAGATGGACATATCATTCCTCTGGATGGTGCACCTCCTGCCTGAATCACCATCAAGTTAAGCTAATGACTTTAAACAAGCGCTTGGTGGAAGGCAATCCACTGGTAAGTCTGTACATAAGTTTTTTTGTTTCAGTTGATTTTCGTTTTTTTTTGTGTCTTAGGTGAAACAGAGGCTGGTGTCGAGCGACACCACCTTCGGTGTCGCTTGTCATTTGCTTCTGTGAAAAAAATAATAATAAATTAGGAAATCAGGAAACCGGAGTCAGAACAGAAATTCGGATTGATCTGCTGCAATTTGGTACAAAGAGAACAAGTGTCGCATGACACCATCATCGGTGTCGCGCGACACCATCATTGCAGCCAGGTAAGTTCTCCATTTTTCCTGTGTTTCTCTGTTTCTTTTCTTTTGTTTCGCCAACTTCGGATTCGATAACACTGAGGACAGTGTTGTTCAAGTTTGGGGGAGGTAGTCGCTGACATTGTGTTTGTTTTTCTTAAGAGTCAGTCGTGTCAAAACGTTTTTGAGTCAAAATTTGTTGGAGATTATGATGGTTTTTCCTGGAATTATTGTGCGGACCTTTCATCTAAGTGACCACTGCTGCAGATTCAGTCTAGATCCGACTGATGAAAAATCCAAAGGCTGACCATTTGACTAGAGGCGTCCATGTTTCCAACAGAATCCACTAACCTGAGCTAATTTCTGAACTCTTTCTTTTACCTCATTGATGTGACTGATGTTCATAGAGCTTGATTCCTCGTTCATACTTGACAAATGAAAGCCTGTGTGAAATCTAATGTTGGTGCTTCTCTCCTGTGACAAGCTAAAAAAATGAAGAAAGAAAGAAAAACGCAAAAAGATTGAGATGATTTTTGCTTGGGAGTGAAGGGCTAGGAAAATTTCCCAGGATCCCATTATTTCATTTCTAAGTTGGAATGATCACACAAAGGAAGGAAGCGAGGAGTAGGAAAGTTTTCTATGACCCCACTATTCGCTGAAAACCTTTGATACAAGGTAAGGAGACAACTCGGGGACTCGATGGCAAACAACATCAGTACTCGCAGCTTTACCCTTATCGAGTATATGCCATAAAAAAAAGGAGAAAAGAAAAAGATGATGAGTATGCAAAAAGAATAAGTCTGGGGGAGAGAAAAATACCAAAGTGTGTAAGGCTGATTTGTTTGAGTATAGTACGGGAAAGAATCTAGAAGGTTCTTGGCATCTGAATCATTAGTGAGATCCAGCGATGAGGGTTTATGGACAATGTCGTGGAATTTTGGACTTAATCTGGGAAGCTGTGAATGTCTGCGGAGAAGTACATGGTGGTTCGATTTGGAATGATAAAGCAGTAGTTGAGTTACAGGGTAATTGGTCAAAAGCGATGTTCCAATGAAAGGTTGAGTCTCTGTGTTTTCAAACCTCTTTCTCTTATTTGGTATTCTGTTTGCTTGAAGGCAAGCAAATGCTAAGTCTGGGGGAGTTGATATATCATGGTTTTTATGGTTTTTGACCATGGTATAGGTCTTATTTATAGAGTTTTTCTAGTGTTTTTCGAGTCTTTTGGAGTCTTTACAGGTCATAGGCACGTTTGGAGGTTAACTGGAGATTTTGGAACACTTTGGAGCTAAACAAGGATCAAATTCGCGAAGGAAAAAGTATGTGCTTTAGTGTCGCTCGACACCATGGAGAGTGACACTCGACACCGATCGAAGAAATAAGGAAAAGACGATTTTGTTTCCTGTTTGAAGAAAGAGTTGGGCCCAGAAGTTCCCAAATAATTCCAAGAAGGCCCATAACGTGTTTTAGAGATATATATAGGATTTTTATTCCCTTTTTTACCGATACCTTAGATTTTTGGAGAGAGAGATACTCTGAGTTTTTGCTTTGGGCGATTTGAGAGCTAGGGGAGACAAGTCTGAACTCTGTCCGTTTAGAGAGAAGATTTCGAACCCCTTTATCTATTTCGACTTAATCTATTGCTTTATATTCATCATCTTTGTTGTTCTAATAATCATGTCTGAGTAGATCATCTGTTAGGTTTAGGGTTTAATTATGGTTTTCTTTGAAAGTTTGATTAACTTGCTAGCTAGGGTTCATATCTGTTAGTTCTTCATCTTAGGTTGTTCTTAATGCTAATTCTGGACTGATCACCTAGAACTTAGATCGTAGGTTGCTTAATAGACACGGA